AGCAGCCGTGTTATCGCTTTCTGGAAGCTGCGCCTATCCACAAAAATTTTCTGTACAGCCACAAATTATTACAGAAAAAAAGTGCCAAGATCTTGCACAATGTTTTGATCAAATAAATTTTGATCTTCAAGAATTTCGATTAGGGAACGCAGAAGTTCCTGCATTGATGATCAGCACCCTCCCCAATGATATGGGAAACTTTAAAAAATTGGACCGAAAAAAAGACACCTTTATTCGTGCTGTCCTACCCATGATTTTACTTGCAAATGCAGAGATTCAACATGAAAGAGAAAAGCTTCTAGCAATTAAAGGCAAGGAAAAATTAGCTCCGTCTGATGAAACCTTTTTGGAAAAACTTTGTAAACGTTACAAAATGGATTCACCAGACTTTAAAGAACTAGAACTACGGGTTGATGAAATTCCAACTTCATTAGCCCTTGCCCAAGCCATTGTAGAAACTGGTTGGGGGAGCTCTTTTGCTGCGCGTCATAAAAACGCTCTTTTTGGAATTACTTTAAAAAGTGGTGTAAAAGCTTATAAAGATACCTACGCAAGTGTGATTGATTACATGCGCAACCTCAACACACATTATGCCTACAAATCCATGCGTTCGCTATGCCAATCTATGCGTCAAAAAGGTCAAGATCTTGATGGGAAGCAACTGATCAAAAAAATGCCTCTTTATTTTTAGTATCGGGGTCGTTACATCCGTCAGGTTACAAACTTGATGAAAGCAAACGATTTACACCATTTTGACAATGTTGAGCTTGATTCTAAGGTTGTGCCTCAATCCTCTGGGCGCATTTCAATTCTCTTGACTCCACTGTAAGAAAAGAACAGAGTTTCACTAGATTTAAGGAACTCTAGAGAACTCTTTGATATATGCTAGATGCGTGGATTCGCCCCCGAATTGATCCTTCGATGAACAAACTGGGACGCCTTTTAGCTCAAAGTGGTGTTCATCCCAACGTTTTAACGCTTTTAGGCTTTTTCATAGGCATTTCAACAATCCCTCTCATTGCTCAAGGCTTATTCCTTGAAGCCTTTATTGCGTTGCTGTTCAACAGAATCCTGGATGGTCTAGATGGAGCAGTTGCTCGAGCACGTTCTTTAAGCGATTTAGGCGGATTTCTTGATATTGTCTCTGACTTTATTGTTTATAGTGCCATCCCTTTCGCATTTGCACTTTATGACTCCGCTTATGGGGTGTGGTCTAGCTTTTTGATTTTTAGTTTTATGGGCGCTACTTCTTCTTTTTTAGCGTATGCAATTATGAACGCCAAACAAGAAAAATCTCCATGCACAAAAAGAGGCCAGAAATCCTTTCACTATCTTGGGGGCTTAAGTGAAGGATTTGAAACTTTCGTTGCCCTTTCGATTATGTGCTTATTTCCATGGACATTTCCAACAGTGGCCCTCATTTATGGGATTATGTGTTGGCTTACAACTGTTGGACGCATCGGTGAAGCATATAAAACCCTTTAGAAACAACTTAAGACCGTTTCTTCCACTTTTTATAAAAAACCGGCACAAGGGCAAGCAAGCCAAGCCCTGCTAACGCAAGTGTAATTTGAGGCGTAATTAAGTTCCAAGGGATAAGTCTTTCCCCTGTTCAAGGAGGCTTTGTAAACCAACGCCAATCGATACATATACAAATGTGCCGGGAAGGATGCCGACAAGCGTTGCCCAAAAATAATCTCGAAGTTTTACTCCTAAAAAGGCAGGAACAAGATTGACCACAAAAAAAGGAAAAACGGGGACAAGTCGCAAAAAGAGAAGGTAATGAAAAGCGTTTTGATGAAATCCTTTTTGCATCTTTGAAAACCAAGGGGCTGCTTTTTCTTTTAAGAGGTCTCCTAAAGCTGTTTTCGCTGCTAAAAACAAAAGTGTAGCTCCAATT